GGGAGGCAGGCAGGCCGGCCCCCCAGGAAATTCCCCCCCCCACAGTATCCCCAGCCCCCCCCCCCCCGCCCGTTCGCAACTCATCAATATTTGTTTAAAAGTTAATATCTCATTCAAATTCAATCTCATCTCACCACCCTGATCCCTGATCTGATCTTGCCCCATCATCCATTACTCAATTTCTACCTAAAACACATCCATCGATGAACATATGAACATGATATAATGTATGGATAACTGGATGGATGAATAAATAAATTGACAAATGTAACTTTTAGGATTACTGCTACAGCTAGTGCTACTTGTAAAGAGTCATCGTCTAAAAAGAAGACCTCACAACACCGCAAATCGAGTACTGCCTCATCGGTACATTCTGAGACACGAACCAATTTAATACTACACAATGTTGGACGTACCATACAAAGGTAGGTACCTTATGTTTTCTTACTCACCTTAAAATCTACCTTGAAATGCCCCAACTTCGAAGCCACCAACCCAGTCAGTCTTCATTTGCTATGCTTTCATAAAACTATCATCATTACTCCTTAACTTATACATACTTATTACTTATATACTATATAAGTACTATTAATTCATCACATTAATTAATTAATTAAAGTATTTACAATAAGTTTTTCATGAAATAATGCTAACACCTTACATCTACGATATCAATTCATAGAATCAATTCATCACATTAATTAATTAATTAATTATTCATTAGTATGCACAAATTCATTCTTCATACACAGAACAAGTACTATATTAAAAACTACTCATACATGATATAAAGTACAGGTACCATTACTCAAAATTATCACATATATATTCACGCTTATAAACAACGCAATAAACCGGTACATTTTGAAACATTTATAGTAGATGATTATTAACTGACCTTTGGTATTAATTGCTGTTGGTAAGAGGTTGTTAGAATTCGATGAGCATCGTATCGATAATACGAATAATGATCACTATTTAAAGATCAGATCACTGGTGATGCCAAATCAATAAAAGACTTCCTTCGATCAAATTGCATTATATCCATACTCCATATAATAACAGCCACACTCCAACCAGGCACCAACCATTTTTACGCCGGATTGCCATTTCCTGACGCAACCCTCCTCATTTTTCCGGGCTTGGGACCGGCACAACGCGCCTTACCAGCTGCTCACTTACGATTAGTCGTCAGTCAGCTGGCAAGCTTAAGTCGTCGTGGCTGAGTTAAAACAAACGAATGCAATCAACTACTTTCTCTAAATATATTCTAAAATATATTTACTAAAATAAAAATTCTTTTCAGGACGCATAATCATTTGAAGCGTAGCCGTCTGCTGCATGCCTTCTATTTCTTTGCACTCCCCATTTATACAGTACTTGGTGCACTCGTCTTTCAAGTCAGTCAGTTTCTAATTAATCCCTTCTCCATGCATCAATTAATCCAACAATCTTCATATACCATCAATTACTACTGTGCAGGCTCTTGACGGCGAACACGATGACTCAATGAAACGGGAATACGATCGCAGATGTCAAAGTGCTCGTTTAGAACACCTTGATCAGTTAAAACTCGCTTGTACACATACACCGGACACTTGTTTTACCGTATGCAATTAATTATCACTAACATCAGCATTCTTATCATATCTTATCATATCAATATCAAAATCCTCCATTCAGAAGATGAAAGCGTATTTGGAGCACGTGGAAAGCTGCTATCGTACATGGCATGCTGTCAATCGAACTATCACGCATCCTATGTCCGACCTTACTAATGCCATTGTCTACGCTTTCAGGTTATTTTCATCTGCTTCTGATCAAACCTTCTCATCAAATCAAAATCACGTTTCTTATATTAACCCACAAACATACCTATCCATTTTTCTTCAACTAATTCTCCAGCTGCTCAGTCTTACCTATAAGTTAATCTGCTGCTGCTGCCTTCTCATTTAATTTCACATTTCAATCAATAACACCGCTTTTCAGTGTATATACAACAATTGGCTACGGTAATATGGCTGCCGATACGATCGGATGCCGTGTGGCCACAGTCATCTACGGTGCTTTCGGAATACCGCTTTTCTTTGCGTTTATCAAAGAGGAGGGCAATCTCTTTCGATTGTGTTTCATTTGCATCTATAAATACTTACAAAAAGTTCGCATCAGAATTTTCCAATGGTGGCGACGAAATGGTCATTTCTATTACTATTATACATATGGCTAATTATCATATCATTATCAAAAACATACTTTAATGCCATTTACTATTAACAACGTTTACTATTAATATCAGTTACTATTAATGCCATTTACTGTTAACAATATGAATGTCATTACTACTATTATTACTATCATCTAGATTTGCGTCACATTATTATCACTAGTCTCATTACTCTAGACATACCTATACACCTAAACATCTCATACATTCCCTACTTACTTACTTACTTACTTAATTACTTACTTACTTACTTACTTAATCAGCAATTCGTTGCCATTGCCTACTTATCCTCCTTCTATAATATCATCGCCGAATGAACAATTCAACATACACCAAACACAACCGCATCAAAACCAAAACAAAACAAACACTACACTATTATCCATCTATTAATGACGTGTCAGTCAGTCATTCACGATCACTTGATCAGTCGTCAATCAACCAATTAATCAATCGATATTTTCAGTTCGTTCACGTACACTTCGATCACAATCGTCTGCGATCAGATCAACAAGTACTACTCAACTCTATAGCACTAACCAAAATGGCTCTGTAAGGCGTAAGAACAATTTGGTGGCGCAACCATCTTACTTCAACCAAACCGTTGCAATTCTAGTGGAAAAAGCGCAACATTTCACTATCTCCTCACCAGCCAACCACAACAATAACGATTCCACTAACAATAATGACAACAATAACACAAAAATTACTCGCAACTCTAATGCTAACATACCATTTATTCGTAAACTAAGTGCTGGTTCACTGTTCGGTGGCACTTCTGGTGGCGGTGGTGGCTTAGGCTTAGCAGGTGGAGCTGGCACTGGGGCTAGGGCTGGAGCTGGAGCTGGATTTCGAGCTGGCACTGGGGCTGGGGCTGGAGCTGGAGCTGGAGCTGGATTTCGAGCTGCGACTGGCACTGGCGCTGGGAGCCTACGTTTAAGTTGCTCTCCAAAAGGGCCTCGAAAAAGTATTTCTGAGCAACGGAGGTATATGATCAACTTTTAAAAATTCACCTTAATTCATTGATAAACAGCAGATAGCAAATCGTATTATTGACTAATTAATTACAGGGTATTTATCGCCGGTGTGGCAGTTTTTATCGTTTATCTACTCGCCATTAGTGGTGTGTTCACGATGATGACCGATTGGGATTATTTCACAGCGTTTTATTTCCTCTTCAATAGCGTTGCGCTGATTGGTTAGTGCAATCTAACAGCACTCTATTCCTACTGTAGTGACTGATCTTAATCTCATTCACTACTCTCCTAAGACTGCTTTTTGCTGAAACTTCGAACAGACACAATAGGTGGATGGATCACTTCAACAATCAATTAATTAGTTAATTAATTAATTTCAGGTTTCGGTGATATTTTCCCGGCTGAACCAAAAATTATTCTTGTAAATACGCTCTTCATTGTGATGGGTGTCATACTATTTTCCATGTGCTATTTCATTTTACAAGAGGAAATCCGTGTCAAGGTTAAAATTTAATTTTTCAAAAACAACAACAAAAAAACAATCCATCGCCCTCCTTGCCTCTCCTCAAAAACAAAAAAATATTATTATTATTATTATTATTATTATTACCTACAAACACACAGCTATTGAAAAATGCTAATGCTGCACTGCCTGCATTCAGCTCCACCTTAATCTGCGTAGTTTTCAGCCAATTCAAGCATTCAAACTACGTCCTGTTGCCTGTCCTCTTTCCTCTTCAGACAATAAATTCAACCCCAGAACAGAACAAACTCAAATTAAATCTATCTATTTTGAAGGCATTTGAAGCGAGTCGTCGTGCGCGAATGAGTATCTGTAAATATTCGCATACAATCATGCAGCACACCAAAAACCCGTGGTCACGTCGTAATTCGCCTGCATTCGATAGTGGCAGTAGTCCGGAGCCGAACTCAGCGTTCGACAAGCTCCGTAAGAGACGTCAAAGCGCTCCGGCTGTGTCGCTGACCGTTCCTCCACCAGCCTTTTTCACGTCACAGCTCACTACCAGCCCACCCCCCACTAGTACATCACGATCGCCATCCTCTCAACACCTCTAATGTATATAGAAGAGTCTAATCCACTGATTACATTCCATCTCTAATCGCTCATTAATTAAATCAAGTCGTCGTCTTTTCTCACTAATTATGTTGTCATCGTTTGTTTGTAATCAGCAGCCATCAATATGCCTAAATTTTCTCAAATATTACTATGACACCATCTAGCCTAGTCTCATCGCATACATTCCTCATTTTATTTTAATTAGCATTATGTTTTGTATCATTATTATTATTATTATTATTACTCTGTTGAATGAATGACATCCGAACGAGCCGAATTTCAAATCTCACTCAATTGACATTTTCAACTTTTGACAGTCACAATTTCAAATCATTCGGTTTCAAGCAATCCGAACGTCCGATCGAAATTGTCGCATTCGATCGAATGTCGTCATCACCACTTTGTATTACTGTTACTAACTTATTGTTACTAATCATAGTTTATACTATTATTATTGTTATCATTATCACTATAATCGTTATCATTATCATTATTAAAGCAGACTGCAAGAGTTCCATGACGAAAATCTAAAAAATTCATTCGTATGAGGCGAAAAAATAGTGCTAGGAGTAATTCTTCTATAGAATGGGTTGATTGTGATTCAACGCTCTTCAAAAGTCACCATCCGATCCATCCGTCCCCACTTAATTCGGTTAATCGTAGACAAAGAGAATTCGATGCTTTTTAATTTTCTGTTCATTAAGCCGAAAAGACGTTTAGCCTAGAATTAATTTCAGTACAACAAAAAATGCCAAACTAGGTCATTCGTCCACTTTCAAAAAGTCCAAAACGTCACAAAATTGCTGATCAATTCAAGTCTCTAAAAATCACCCAAACACTTAAAATGATCCACTGACTTCTTATAATTACTCAGTATTATTATTATTGTCAACTTATTTCAGTCTTATTCTTATTATCACTACTGTTATTGTTGTAAATGTGATATAATAGTTATTATTATTATTATTATTATTATCATTATTATTATTATTATTATTATTATTATTATACAATACATTAACATATATAGATTATTATTATTATTGTTATTATTATTGTGTTCACTCCCATAGAACTAACTCACTGTTACGTTAATCCACTAATGATCTCAAAGAAAAAAGAAGAATATCCTCAACTTAATTCGCCATTTCTAATGCACAATATTCAATATTGCCATCAAATGCCTCTTACTAAGCTGTTGCAGCTATCTTACAGTGTCAGCAGCATAGAATCAGTACTGTTTTCATTCACTCACAAACAAAATATGCAAGGAAGACAGACAGACGACTGCACTGATTGGCTGGCTCGTTAACGAATCAACAACATTATAAATGAGCACCAGATCAACTCAAAATCAATCATTTCACTCAAAATCATCATGCAGTTTAATCATCAAGCAACAACAACAATATCATACAACAATAATAATCATAAAAATTTCCAAGCTTACCCTGTTTGTATTACTTTTGATGTTGATCGCTTGCTGCACAATAGATTACAGTATTATATTGGACCAACTCAGCTCTTTAGCATTATCAGATAGCCAATTTAGATTAGCCGTTGCATATGATATATAACAAAACGATAGCTAGCATCCATAGCATTCTCGAATACGATAAATGCTTCTTAAATAAAAATTATAATAAATAAAATAAACGATAAAAATAAAATAAACGATACGAGGAGCTGTCAGCAAGCAGTAATGCAAAATCATGCGAACGCAAGCAACCTTTCAATCAACACTAACAAAAAATAATAAATAATAAATAAATAATAATAAAAAATAATAAATAATAAAAAATAATAAATAAACAAATAAGCAGCTAATAACACCCACCAACAATCACTAAATGAACAAAGAGCTTAATAACTCGATGAATTAATTCGATGAGCGCTTATCAACTGATAGCCCCGCCCACTTCTGTGATCAAAACAATACAAAGCCCGCCCACTTCTGATCAAAACAATACAAAGCCCGCCCACTTCTTTGTGCAGCACGAAACGGCCCCGCCCATCTCTCGGTTCATCACGATAAGGTAACGCCTGCCTACTCGCGAATCCAACAAAACAATGCTCCAAATAAATAAATAAGTTAATTAATTAACTAATTAATTAGCAAGCAAACACTCAAATAAACCAACACGTAACTAAATAGATAAATAGGCCTACACCTGAATGATCAAAGAAAAACAGAAGGAAACGAAGGACATCGATCAAATTTTAAAAACAAACAACAATAAATACCGACACATCTATAGAGATGCATTCCGAAACACTCCACTGAGTATGAATAAAACAAGCATAGAAGAAGCATTTCGCACGACCGATGACTAAATTGAAATCGAATCGAATGGAAGTGATTTCAAGAAACAATTTTATTTCAAATCTGAAGCTTTTATTCAATTGAATATCATTAATTAATTCATTAATATTCAAACTATATGAATAATAATAATAATAATAATCATTTTTATATGGAACAATTAAACTATAATAATTCTATCAAACATATCATATTTCACATTAAAAATCACACAACAATAATAAATAATAAATTCTGCTGGTGTGTACGATCATCACCCCAATCAAAAATTCATCATATTCACTTACAAATACGCTCTATAAGGTTACTAACACCTACTGGGGATAGCAAGGATATCGAGGGGAGCAAGACAGCCATATAAAGGGCCGATATCAAGGTTAGGCCGGCTTAAACCCTCGCGTCAATCAACACGGCTACGGCTACGGATTTAGGATCGTATGAAAGCACCACCTACTCTCTATCCACCAGCTACGGTCTAATACTTATTCACAAATCAGTTTTCCAATCAATCAATCAATAAATTAATCGATCAATTAATCAGCCTCCGTCTAGGTACCTTTACTCAAATGTTACATGTCGAAATAAAATTCCTTCCACATTAAATTCTGCTGTCAATTGCTCAATTTCCTCATCTTTATCACACATCCAACGACGATACGATAGAGCAACGATACAATACACGATACACGTTAAGAAATGAATAAAGCATTACTATTATAATTACTCTGTAAAAGTTACAGTAACCCTTAAGTCTCTTCGAGTCTAATCGACGATTGCACAATGTGTTTGTTGTTGGTTTTGATGAGTTTGGTGGTGTGAAAGACGTGAATGCTTAAAATTTGTTCACGTATCTCAGCGTTATACTTGTAGTAGATGAACAATCGTATGGTGGATGACACCACAAATAAAATACTCACGAAATCACCTAACATCACATAGATCCAATTGAACGCGTTACCCGTCTCATCCTGAAATGCAAATTCAAATTATACTTTCTACCTGGATTACCTGCATTACCTGCATTGGCAAGCAGCAGGCTCTCATCAAACGTTTATAACGTTGCTGCTGGCCACAATGCCCGCACGCAATGTTTCCGTGCGGCGCATTGTTTTAGCCTTAATTCACGCCACCCGCTGGCTAGTAGGCGAGCAGGCCAACCGAACGAACACAACCGAGTAATTAATTAGTTGAAAGCCGTGAATACTTTGCATAATTAATGGTCGTAGCCAAACACCAATCCAATAAATAATCACAACTCTAATAAAATAAATATTCCGCCGCCGATCGCTCACAGCGACTGACGAAACAACCACTTGATGTCCAAGTAATAATTAAGAAATTATATTTGTGTCGGTGTCTAATCTTACAGCAGCAACAGCAAAATGCATAGTTGCTTGTGCAGTTTAAATAGCCTCTCTCCAATCATTTTGATCAATCAATCAATCAATCAATCAATCGATCAAAATTAAAGCACCACAACAGCTACAAATCAAATTACGGCTAACTAACCAAAAGCCATGTTGGATCGAACTGCTCAATAATAAATAAGCAAAAATGTAGACTATTACAAGCCAGATAGGTACTGATTATCACAACCGTGGTTTTGATAGCGATTCGTAATCGCTGACGTTCACGTCGTTCCTCCTCTCGTGCTGTACACATATCATGACTCTGAATCACACCTCTCTCCATCAATCAAACTCCAATCACACCCCTACCCCCCCCCNCCCCCCTCCCCCCCCCCTACCTTCCTATCCCCCCCTTACCCCTTCCCCTCCCGTTTATCGGGTTATTATTAAGCAATTTCACCGTATCACTACAAATTTACATAATCCCAAACAATATCCCTCCCATTTTGAAATATCCCTTATAACTTTGGCTATATCTTAAAGAAATCCACTTCAATCCAAGCCAACCCTTTCCCTTAGCCTCTTACACAAACATGCATGGCTAACTCTCTCTGATGGAATGTAACAAAATTACGCTACGGTAAGAAAGCGAGCCACCGACCGACTGTAATCTACAATACGGATTGTGCTTATCATCATTATCGTATCATTATCAGATAAAGCTAAAGATTAATTAATCCAACCTAAAATCCAATGAAACCACCAAAACAACCAACTCTACATTGCTAACCTCGAACAAAACACTCGGACTGATCAATGCAGATTGTCGTCGTGCGGCTTTATGATACTCACGTAATTTTATAACGATTATCGCGTTTAGCACTGTCAATATCAAAAACGATGCGATTATATGCAGAAACTGAAATGAATTATCAAATAAATACGTTAATTAATTAATTAATTAATTAGTAACTAAATGAGTGAATAAATTGACAAGTAAGCAAGCATTTGTATGAGTCAGATCACACTCTAACAATTTCAAAAGTTTATTTGAAAAAAAATATTTTAAGACTAGTAATTTCGTTTTGTATCCTCACTATTATTATTATTATTATTATTATTATTGTTATTATTATTATATTATATTATTATTATATATCATTATTAAAATGATGCCACTAAAATCGACTAACATTGACAACGATATCGAATAATTTGAAGCGTTCATCGCTCATGAATTCAGTCGGACTTAAGAATTTACTCTCGAAGAGGTCACACTCTGCATTCGTCGTCAATTGCATGGCCCATAGAGCGGGCACACGTAACACGAATATTGATGTCAGTAATAATATAACCACTACGAGACGACCGTATCCTCTAAAAATTATTATATACCCTTTCAATCGCTCTTTTGATCAATCGATCAATCCAAATCTTTTTATCGATTTTTATCGATCAATCCAAATCTTTTTATCGATCCAAATCAATCAATCGATCCGTACATTTCAATGCCTCCACCTACAAATCACTGCTCAATATGCCCAAAACATTCTCTGTGCTCACCGCCATATATATCAAGTTAGAATTAATTCTATGAAGACAATTTTATGAAGACGATTCCGAACGCTTTTACCGTTTACTGCAGCAAAGAATAATACCAAACAAGAAACAATATCATATTAATGATAACAATGAGGCATAGACTCGTGATCAGTCCGGTTTGCTGATCACATAAATATCCTAATTGAACAGCCAAAATGTGACTAACGATAAATTAAAAGTATTATTACTATTATTATTATTATTTATTATTATTATTATTACTATTATTATTACTGTTATTATCATTACTATTATTATTGTTATCAATCCTAGATTATCCCCATGAAATCCTTATCCAGGATGCTTGCCTTTCACGAATGATTGCTGCAAACAAGTGCAATCTACAGTGCACAATTAATTCCCTCTCCTATATCCATCCATCCATCCCTCTCTCCGAATATAAAACCAATCATCATAAAACCCTCCCTAACTAATAAACTACCCCCATAAAACCACTAATCATAACTCTATCCCACTCACTTCATCTAATTTAACTTATCAAAATTCATCATCTCAACTTTCTAATCCATCCATCCACCCAAATCTAATCCAAAAACCTTAATCAACTCATAGCACAATATCTATCTATCTATCTATCCATAATATCAAATTCACCTTATTAAACATCGCTACTTCCTTCCCTATTCCAGTCGTCACTCATCACATCAAACAAGCACTATTTCCGGATTAAATAAAAAGCTGCCTGCCCCCTATCATATCTTAAACTAAACATCTCACGTCAGTGCTTCCTTAATTACTCTCTACTCAATAACAATAATAATAATAATAATAATAATAACAATAATAATAACAATAATAATAATATTATGAAAACAATAACTCAAAGCAGTCAGTCTAATAACAATAAACCAAAATAATACCATTACTAGTAAAGAGTAGTGAAATAATGAGCCTCATTACACAATCAACTTAAACAAAATCCATCCCATTGATTTTTTTTCCAATTTTAATAATAACAATAAAAATAACAACAACATATTCATTCAGAACGTGCAAGTGATTAAGCCTAAGTCTGAAGTGAGTGTAGAATTTCCTTGTTGAATTCACTCAGTATGAGATGAGAGTTTTACATTCTTCAATTTTTTTTTAAATTTAATTTTATTTTATTTTACTATTTTTATTTTTTATTTATTTTTATTTTTTATTTAAGATGATAGTATCTTCAATTTAACGTCCTCAATTTGTATTCCATTCCGGTCCGTTCCGTTCAGCCTTTTTACCGAAACCGGACAGGTCGCTTCCGATAGATAAACGGATATAATGAACAGATGAATGCGGCCATATCATTATCATTATCCTTATCAATGTAGTCATCTTATCAAAGACTAAGTTAATTTAGATGTTGCTTTTACCACTCTATCGTGTTTCTCACCTAAACTCGAATCCCAACTAAACTAACTGGCTGCTTTCGAATACGATGGCTGGCTTATTCGCCATCTTCATCTTCATCCTCATCCTCATCCTCGTCATCGTCATCATAATACTGCTAGGTAATCCAGGCTACTAGTAGCCGACTTCCCTCCTTGTCTATTTCACTGCTGCTGCATTACTTGCTCCGTCCTCCAAGTAATTCAGAACACATACACCATCGATTATTCAACGAGCAGTGGCTAGGTGGTGTCATAGGTGGGTGAACAGAGCAGATAAAGCAACGAACGATAAAATTTGATGAGTATGGATTAGCTGACCCATACATAGTTTTGGCTGGCTCATGGCTCGATGCGATGCGATGACTCAGCTCGGCCGGTCGGTCGGCTCATCTCATCTCAGATGCTTAATCGAGCGCAAAACTCTCCTAATCAGTTCGGTTCGATCTACTTAAGTAAGCTTAAGATCAACTCCAACTAAGCATCTGACACAACCACAAACAAACCAACCAGACAACAACTATGTAATATTCAACGAATAGACACACTGCATAGATAGATAGATAGATAGATGGATAGGATGCATGAATTCAATGACTAACTCAAACTCAAAACATTACTTACTTACTTACTTACTCGATCACCAAAATATACCAAATCAAAAATTAATTCAAAATATCAAATCATCATAAATAATATCATAAATTAAATATCAAATTAAATTAAATTAAATTAAATTAATTCATTTCGCTACAATAATTCTTATCATTAACGTATTCACTATCATTTATATCATTATCATTCTTATCAGTAGCGTTATCAGTAACATTTCTGCTGTCACCGCAAACAAAATAGAATAAAAACCGAAACTCACTGACTACTCATCGAAGCTTTACCGGTGATCCATGCCAATCGTTCAGCTGTCGACGCAATGATAACGTATCTTTAAAATATAAAACAATAATAATAATAATAATAACAATAATAATAATAATAACAATAATAATAATACTAAAAACAACAGCAATCACATACGGTATCGCCATCTGCGTCATTCGTCCGAGTGTATACACATAAATATTCGTTTCCCAAACAATCCAATACAAGAAGGCCAATCGGAATGTAACGGCAAATTTCGGGAATGCGAACATCCATAGATACGTTAGGCACAACAACAAATCTAGTAGTGCTAGCACCTGACATAATTATTATGATAATTAATTAATAATAAATACTAATAATAATAATATATAATAACATATAATAATAATTAATAATATTAATAAGCATAACTATAATATACACCTTCAGAAACAGGGAACTTGCATCGCGCGGATATCTCAAAAACACATAGAGCAATAGAGAATTGCATACTCCACCAAGCAGAGCTAAAGACGCTCCAATGCTGCAATATAATATTCATTGAAGTGATCATTATCCTTATCATTAATCATTATCCTTATCATTAATCATTATCCTTATCATTAACCATTATCCTTATCATTAACCATTATCCTTATCAACACATCCTTATCCTTATCCTTATCAACAGCAATCATATCAATGCAACAATATAACACTGTGCTTTCTTCTGATTCCTTCCATTCGATTCTGTTTCTGATAAATCTTTACGCTTAATAAGTAAATATATTCCCTCCCGTCTAACCATAGTCTTCTCGGACTTCAACTACTTCACTTGAAACAACTTCAACTTCAATAGAAGCAGTAATAATAATAATAATAACAATAATAATAATAATAATAATAATAGTAATAATAATAACATATCGATTATGGCTTTGCTTTACCACTAAACATTCCCTGCTTCAAGTGAGCGTTTTAAGCACCGCTTTCCGTGCTCTTTACTTTATAAGAGGTTCAAAGTAACTAATAGTAATACTAATAATAATACTACCAATAGTAAACAGTAATAATAATAACAATAACAATAACAATCACAACAATAATAACAATATTAATAACAATCTTAACAGAGGTATCACATCGCAAAAAAACTCAGCTAATACGGTCGTTTCATGCCATTAATCTATTATTCATATAAATCTATCAATCAATGCAGCACACCTCTAAAATACCTTCCATAACCTCTTCATAAATAAATAACTAACTAACTAAATCCCTTTAAAAAGGCTATTATAACTGAAGCGTCGTCATTTTCACACAAATCCGCATTATTTCTCAATATCGCCGCCATACAAAATGCGTTAATATTTAATTTTTTATACCTTTTTATGCCGTATATGTGGAATTCATTATGAGTGTCGTGTTAAAATCATAAAAAATTTCGTCTGTATTTCGTTTTTTTTTGCTAATTTCCTGCAGTCGTCTTCAGGGCATAAACCCTGCCTGCATTGCTCAGAGTATATTACGAGATCTGCCCAAATCCTCTGTACTTGCCCAAAACCTCTGTACTTGCCCAAAACCTCTGTACT